TATATTTTATACCCATTTCAGTGCCAATAACTGGTCGTGAAAACCGACATTTCCGGGCGCGTCCTCCCGATCCCCATATAGAAAGCCTAATTGACCCAATCTATAGCTGGTTGAGGCAAACACCACACCATTGGTGGCCAAAACACTTATGTCTTGACTAAATACTGAGCCCCCACTCAAACCTCCTCCGTGTATGTAAAACATAACTGGTTTTAGTTTTACATCTTTCGATGGGTTATTGGTTTCAACATTTGCTGTCCATATGCTTACATACAAACAGTTTTCACTAAATGTCAAGTTTGGGAAAAACTGCATTGGATTGAATGCATGAATCTTTAGGTTTAGTCGCATCTATAATATCCTTTAAAAATATAATATTAATGAATAACAATTAAACTATTATAATATATATATATATATAATAAATTACTTACTTTTATGGGCGTTATAATAGGCTGTGGTTTAGCGAACCTAAGCTTTCCGACCGGGGGTTCGGCATAAGGTATACCTATAAACACATTAAGAGTTGTGTTCAATACCTGTAGTGTCTGACCCCTCACTACACCAGAAGTGGTTTTCACGTCAACATAAGTCTCAACACAATTTGTGAATACAATAACCGAAGCAAAAACTAATAGATTAACGAAATGTTTCCGTTTAATAAGCATTTTATATTAATAATACTAACCCGGGTAAGCGTATCATTAGTAAAATAAATGTTTGAGTTTCCAAGTTAGATCGTTATGAATTTATTTATATAGTTGTTGTATTTGCTTGCTTATCGAAAGTTGTACCAGTACATTTATAATTGGCACTAAATGAGTAACAGTGTAAGTTCCACATAACACCTATTTATAATAACTATTTTAAATATATTTTATAATAGTTATTTTAATTGTATCTATATAACAGTATTTAATAATATGTTTTGAATAGGTTTATGAATAATATAGTTGTAATAAACATTATAAATATTTGTAATAAAATTAATAAAATTGTATGCCTATACTTAATTGTATATTTTAAAGCTTAATACGATTATCTAAATTATCAGATATTAAGTACTTTGATGACTGTGTACTACAATAATTAGTTTGAGTAAACTGTAAACCTAATATTTTAATTGCATGTATGATCATTAATAAGATATTATAGCAATAAACTAAATATTTATATATAATATTTGGTATTTTATTTATTTACTATTTTGTTATTATATTTATGAATATTTGTTAATCATAAGTTTTTATAATAAACAAAATATACAATAATCAAGTTTATAACTAATGAATATTTACATTATGTATATGTATGAAAAGGAATTTATAATTAATATTTTCAAATTATGACTTTTAACTTTAAGTGATTGAAATTAATAAAATAACAAGTGTTAAATCAATTGCTTTAAAATGCAAATTTGTTACAAGGCTAGTTGTCACTATATTTATAGAATGACAACCACTGGTTTAACTAAACTATAGTTATTCCTCTAACCTTGAGTATAAAATTTTTAAATAAATTACATTATAATAAAATCCATAGTTTCATAAATATATCAAAACATTCTAAAATAAACTAATCTAGTCAAACTTATAAACATTTAATAATTGAACATTTTCGTATATTTTAAGCATGTTAAAAATATTTACTTCAATTGATACATCATTTGAACGTCTATTGGAAACACTGGCAGTACTTTTCTATTGCTCGGAATACCTATTCATTTGTATCATTATTCTCATTATCCTAATATACCTATTATTTACTAAATATTTCATAATACCCTTGTTATATTTTTCATGGGTTTACTACGATCGAAATGTCCATAACCAGGGGTAGTATCAATTATCTTTATAACAAATTATCAATCATAAAATTATGCTTGCAAATAGGTGGCAGATTAAATCATTGGATTAGACGTCTATCCATTTGGACATATTTCGTTAATTATTTTCCAATTAAATTAATCAAAACTCACGATTTGGACCCCCGGAGGACCTACATATTTGCCTGTCACCCCCATGGTCTCATGGGCTGTTCAATAGTTGCTAATTTTGGTACTGAAAGCACCGGCTTTTCACACCAGTTCCCCGGTTTGACACCACATATATTAACACTTCCGGAATACCTATTATGGATGCCTTTTAAGAGGGAATATTGGCTTTCATTGGGTTTGTTAGACAACCATTTGGTTTAATTATACTAGTAGACTACTGTTAAATGTTAATTTATATAAAATTATAGTACTTTTGAACATGCCAAAATATAATCTAATACTTAGGTTTTGGTGCGGCCACTAAAACATCTATGGAATGGTACCTAAAGTATGAATTTTTTAAATACCTAATCAATAATAATTTATTATTTAAATTAATAAGCATTTTAAAAATTGTGTATAGCGATTGTCGCAAAGGACAGGCACTGGTATTAGTAGTAGGAGGTGGTATTGAGGCATTGGATGCCATTCCTAATACATTACGATTAACCTTAAAACATAGATTTGGATTCATAAAAATGGCACTAAAGCACGGGTATGTGTTTTCAATGTAATATAAATCCATTCACATCCCATTCCTTAAGTACACCATTGGTCCCGGTTTTGTCATTTGGCGAAAACAATGTCTACAATCAATATGAAGTACCCAAAGGGTCCATAATAAACAGGATTCAATTATTGGTTACCCGGGTTACTGGCATTACACCGCCATTGTTCTATGGTTAGCCTATTATTTTTAAATATATTTATCTCATATTTAAATTATAATTTGAATGACAGGTCGCGGTCTCTTTGAGCACACAATCGGTTATTTGGCGCACAGAAAGCCCATCACAACTGTCGGCAAGTATTTGCTTTATATAAGTGAAACGTTTGGCTAATATGTTGTTTGTATTGACCATAAGTGGGTAAACCAATTGATGTGTCCCAGGTGTCGGAGCCGTCTACTCAACAAATTCAAGCATTACATCAAAAATATGTTAAATGTTTAGAGCAATTGTTCGCCGAAAATAACCCCATATATGGACACAAAGATTTGAAGCTAATTATAAAATAGTTTAAAAAGTTTATTATAATATTTATTACAGTACTATTGTTGTTAATTGTTAATTATCAAAAATAATATATCAATTTTAGCAAATTTAAACTTGTTTGGTGTCAATTAAACAAATGTTAACAAATTCTTAGGCGTGATCCACAAAGTACATACGCACGCCTAGGGGGG